TTTTATTTTTTTTTTGCGGCGGCATCATCTACCTTTACCCGCATTTTTCGGCTCATCCACATTCTTTTTGCTTCAATTTGGCTATGTATGTGTTTAAAATTAAATTATGAGCGAATAAAAGAATTTTTACTTTTTTTGGCATTTACATGTGGCTCCGGGCCAACGACGGGGAGCGGTTGGTCCCTTCTCCAACGACTGGTTCTTTTTTTCCGATGGGGGACTTGCGGCTAGGGTTTGGGTTCGGTGTGAAGTGAGATATTTATAGTTATCTTCCTTAAATCTGTACCGTTCATCGCGTTTGATCTCGACCATACGATCACATTTAAAGATGAAATAAATTTGAATCGTTCATTGCGATTTGATCTAGACCGTATGATCACATTTAAAGAGAGAACGAATCTGAATTATTCATCGCGTTTAATCACGATCATCCGATCGCGTCTGATGAGAGAACGGATTCAGACTGTCCACGCGTACGAGAACGCATCCGAGCCGTTTGATCGCGGGCACACGAATTACAAGCATAGCCTCCTGCGTGGCACCGAGTCAACGTGTCTTGCCACACGACACACTCTGGTTTGTCAGGTCTGCTGACTGGGCGGTCCTACGTAAAACAATTTTTTTTAATTACATTTTGATCATCAGTTAAAATTTTTCTTTCAAAAATACCCACCGAACACAAATTTTCACCAATTTTTTTCCAAAATTATTTTCAATTTCATACTCTATCTATTTTTTTTCCTAATTTTACATTAAATAAATATTTATAAATTTAACATTTATATTTTTATATATATTTTTAAAATTTTAAAATTAATCTAGAACCAAAGTTCGGATATGGGTATTAAATTTTTTATTTTTAATTTTTTTATTATCGAATTTCCTTTTCTTGTGTTCTTATTTTTTTTATTTCTTTTCATTTTGTTATCTATTTAAAAAAATTTCAATATTATTTAGATGCAATTTTAAGATATATATGATTATTCCACAACTATGTGGTATTTTAAGGTCCAATGATTCACTATTTTATAATAGTAATTTTTATTATTGTGTTGTTACTTAATGACATTATAAGATATAAATGGGAAATGATATTTATTGGTTACCAGGTAAGTTTTTCTATTTGTGTACTTGTCTCATTAGAAAACTTATATACTCATACGTACTGATATTTGAATAGTAAACATTTATATATTTTATCTGCTAAAAAGTAATCATGCTTTTTTTACCTATTTGCCCTCTACTTGTCCTTTACTCTGAAAGCCCCTAATTTATTTACATATTAAACAATTAGACTATAATTTTAAAATTTAAACATTAATCAAAATAAAATACAATTTAAAATAATACTTCAACATCATTACTTGAAAATAAAATATAATTTAGAATAACATATCAACATAATTAAACTCCAACAACTAATATAAAATAAAAATACAACATTAAATGATATATTTAGAGTAATTATAAATAACTCACTTACTATGACTATATATTAACATATTACTTATATTTTAATGTAATAAAAATTATTTTAAAAATATAAGAATTAATAATAAAATTAAAATGTAATAAGTATCTCTATTCATGTTCTTCTAACACAAATTTTGTTTTTGTGTTTTTTCTTAACAATATTAAAGTATAACCTTTCATATGTTCTTTTTATAAGATTTGATAGCATTATACGTGGGTATAACTTATTTTTATGAAAAATGTTAATAAAATTATTTATTTAATCATTTTTATTTCGTATAAATAATAATTATAATTTAAATAATTAAATTTAAAATCATATATAAAAATAAAATGTGAAATATATATCGCGTGATATAAATTATTAGATAGCAAATTATTCAAAATATAGAATAAAATTACACAAAATTGGTATTATTCCACTTTCTATGTTTACAGTAAATTTATTCAAAGAACAATTGTGGAACTTTATACAGAGAAATATATATATTTTTAAGGAACACCAACAATTACACATTTTTTTTTTCTTTAAGAAAAAAAAAATATAAAAACAAAATATATTACGTCTGTTGATTTAAAAAAAAAAAAAAAGAAGCATATTAAAAAACAAAAAGGCAACGGTTATCCAAAATTAATTACATATATAAATATTAAAAAAGGAAAAAGGAAAAGAAAATATGTCCAGTCAAGTTCAGTGTCAAAGTAGAGACAGCCGTAAGTCAGTCCTAAAATATTCCCCGTTTTGCCGGGAGGAGACGGTGTAAAAACTATAGCCAAAGCCCGCTCTATATTTTGGCACCAAAATTTTGAACCCCCCGCTCTATTCGTCTAATCCCTCTTTTTGCCTCCCTAAATTTCCCAATTCTCTTCTCTCTGAGGATTCAATTACTCTCTTTCACTCACTTTCATCTCTTTTCTATTTCCGAAATCCCTATTCTTTTTTTGAGGGTTTTCGTTTTTGATCCATTTCTCTGGTTTCCGCTTCTGCTGATTTCGCTTTGCTTGATTCTTTTTGCTTGCTTTTTATGGCGACTCAAACCCTAGAAGACACGAAAACGGAAGAGGAACCTCCGGTCAAGGAGAAGGAGGAGCTCAAAACAGAGGAAAGCAAGCAGGAGAACCAGGAAACGGACAAGGGAGAGAAAAATCAGGAACTTCCCGGGGAAGTGGTTTCTCGAGACACTAAGGAGCTTGAAGAGACTGTCTTGGAAGACGAGGTTCATGAAAGTGAGGAGGAAAAGGAACCCAGCGATAAAGCTAAACCAGGTCGAGAGGGGAGTTCCAAGGAAGACCAAGTCGAGTCTAAGAAAGAATCACCCGAGAAGAGACCGGGTCAGGAATCGACTGAAAAAAAGGAGTCTGTTACGCCGGCTAACGAGAGGCCTACTAGGGAGAGAAAGAGTGTGGAGCGGTACTCTGCGCCGTCTGTTGTTCGCTCCTCTTCGAGTAAAACCTTGTCGATTGAGAAGGTATGTGGTGAACGTTTCGGTTTTTGACGTAATATGTTGCTATTATCATCGTTCGTGCACTGGGAATTGGGTATTTGATTATCTTGGACTTCTCTGGTTTCTCAGGGTCGTGGCACGCAGCTTAAGGAGATTCCAAATGGTATGCTTAATTAATTTGTGGGTGTTGGGTTTTCTTGATATTTTTCTTGATATCAGTTGGTTCTCTAAATCTTTCGATTTACTGCTTCATGCTTGCTCGTTACCTATTCCTGCTATTTACTCGATTCCTCTCTCTTTATATTTGGGCAATGGATTTTTATTTCTTTATTTTTTCCTTTTCTTTTTCCTATTAGATTAAGGTTACCCTAAACTATTATGAGGTTATTTTCTGAATGGTATGGTACTTGATCATGTAAAGAATTTCCTCCTGAAGATGCGATCTTTGTTTTGTTTTTTGGCTTCTGTGGTTACATTGTTATTCTTAACCAGAAACATTGATAGAAAATAACATGATAAGATTTGATAGTACACGAGTGACTATAACTATGGCTGCTCTTGTTTCCCTTAAATTTAATGGATATGGCTAATCAAGGGCTGTTCAATGCATTTGCATAATGGTAGAATACTTGTTAGATGTAGCTTAATGTTCACGAAGAGAATCCTCATTCTCTGCCCTCCCTCAAGGTGGTTTATGCCACCTTTGATCATGATATTGACACTGAAAAATTCATCTCTACCTTGGATTATGGGCAGACAACTTTCGTTGTTAATGCAATTCACCCTCCATCGCCCAGAATGATGGGTTTGGGAAAGAAGTGTTCTCTTTAGTTGATGAATTAATGATTCTTTGGAATCATCAGTGACTTGTTTGAATCATAAGTTTTTTGTCCGTGTTATGGGGATGTCTTGCTGGTCAAGGTTCCTTGACAAGTGAAAGGGTGGCTTGTGCTTGTGATGGTTGAACTATCCGCCTTCCCAACTGATCTGAGTTTATCAAAGATGTCAGATCAAATGTCCTTTTTATTATAAGCCTGTTATTTCCATGCTGGCTTTTCTTGGGTGGCTGCATTTCTTCTAAATGCAAGAGATGAACTAGAGTTTAATGAAATTTTACTTTTATCTAATAGTGGAGCATACTGGACAAAAAATGTGAAGCTGCTTATATTATCCAACTATGTAAAACTAAAAGATATCCTGCATTTTTTGTGTGGCATAAATTGTATGCAGAAGGACTATGTTTTAACAGCATTAATTTCATCCTTAAGAATATTTATTCTGGTTTGAAAATGTTATTTTGATGTGGGAAACATCATTGAATCAACTAATATTCGTTCAGATACTTGGACAGTTTAACTTCTGTACTATTTGTGCTTCCTTAAGCAGAGGGTGGTCAATTACTTCAAAATATTGCTGTTCTGTGTTTCACATGATGCCTGACATGATGAAAATTGTTCTTTTTATAGAGGGGCAAGGTTTTTCTTGTTTTGTTCCTTGTGAATAAGTTAATCTACATATTATTACTTCTACTCAGCTCCATTGTTAAGGCGGACTGGCATGTTTCTTGTCTTATATTGTGCGCTATTTCAGTGGCTTTCAAGTTGTCCAAGAGAAAACCAGATGACAATCTGCAAGTACTTCACTCCATACTTTTTGGAAAGAAGGCAAAGGTGAGTTGGAGTTTTGGTCTTTTTCTATTATTTTCTTTTTTTGTTCTGGCCCTTGTTCATGGTGCATATTCACTGGATATTGCCAAAAGATTTTAGTGATTTGAGAAAATTTATGATTATTCTGTATGTGTTAATTGCAGTATATTTTTGCAGGCACACAATTTGAAGAGAAACATAGGGCAGTTTTCAGGCTTTGTGTGGATTGAGAGTGAGGTAATTAATTGTATCTCTGGGAATGATCTGTTTTATTGGTTTCTTATGTGCATATTGACTTATGGTTTTCTGTTGATCTGTTTTTAACAGTATTTTATTCCATTATGTGTCAATGATAGGTCGACATGGTGTGGGTATATGGTATTTCTAATGAAATGTTTTAAAATAGACTGTGTACCTTTTGCAGGAGGATAAACAGAGAGCCAAAGTAAAGGAGAAGTTAGACAAATGTGTTAAAGATAAACTCATGGATTTTTGTGATGTGCTCAATATTCCAATAAGCAAAAGTACTGTGAAAAAGGTCATTGCTGAATTGGTGTTATGTTATGTTGTTTTTATTTATTAAACAAATTTGGTAGACTTATATTTCTTTATTGTCTTGGATTGTTACTATATTATTGTTGATCTGAGTGATATTTTCAGGAAGAACTCTCTGCTAAATTGTTGCAATTCCTAGAATCGCCCCAGGCAACGACACATATTTTGCTTGCTGATGTGGGCCAGGTACTGTCTTTTCTGTGTGATAAGAAAATGCTGTTAGTTGTCACCGAAGCGCTTGGTGACATTTGTTGCTCATCTGTCTTAATTTCAGAAAGGTAGAAAGCGCAAAGTCACACAAAGCAAAAATGTTGAACCTAGAGAAGCATCTGATATGCCAGCAAAGGTTTGTCTTTTTGATAATATTACAGCCATGTTTGTGGAACTCTTCACGTTGGTAACTTTTTGCTGTCCAACTCTACTGACCTGCTTGCTCAGCTATATGAATTTGTGAACTTCATTTATATAACTTTACTATATTCGTTATCATTGCTTATATTTGTTTTCTTTCTTTTTTGTTCCTGAAGAAACTTCTTTTATATTGACTGAGCTGTAAGGTTGAGGGTCAATGTACTCATTGATGGGATGTTTCTGATTATAATGTTGAATCCGAATTGTCTACAGTCGTGTCTATATTAATCCGATGACCTTGAGTTTTTAGGAACTTTCAATTTATAAGATGCTTGCTTCATTTTGTTGATGAAAAAATTTGCTTCTGTGCTTGCTTCCTGTACTTATTATGTTGCTTTATGCTTGTTTGATTAATTTTTTTTATTGTATTTATAGCTTATAGCAATTTGAAGGTGCTTGAGTTCTTTTCCATTCTGCCATATTTATTCATTTCTGCAGCTCTTTGGAAACCTTATTGTATTGGACCATACTAATGGTATGGGTTAATTTTGTTAAAAATGCCTCTTTGTTCTATGGATTTTTCTCAAAGTCATATTGTAGACTATCTATTGATATGTTTGGTTTTCCTGTTTAGTAGATATTGGGTGGCAAGATGGAAACACTTGAGGGATGAATTTCATTTTCTAGGTATTTAGGCTTTTTGGTTCCATTCACCAAGTATTTAGGGTTTTGTGGATTAAATATAAATCTTATTGGAGTTAAATTCACTTTCTGACTCATTCAATAAATTTCTGGTCTGTTCCAGTTGGTTTTGACATGTCCATGTGGAAGCTTTGATTAACATTTGACATATTCCTCCTGTTCATGATTTCTTTGCAACTTTCTTTTTGCATTTTTTGTTGTCTTTGAACTCTACCAATTTGAATCCTTCTTGTTTATCTATTCTTCGTTTTGGTTATTATGGTGTTACTTTCAGCTGTTTAGCATACATTTTTAAATTTAGTGATAAAGCTGCACAGCTGAAACCCAACTGTCATAGGGTATAAGTCTTTTATCACATAATAGATACTAAATTTCCTGAGATTTTTCTGTCTCACCGACTGAACAAAATATGTTTTAGTTATTGCTCGGTCAATTTGTATACTTGTCCTTGGATACTTAAGTTCACCTTTTTTTTTGCAGGATATCTAGGATTCCACAGATTTTATGAAAGAATATTGTTGTTCTATGTATTGCGAATAGAACCATGAAATGTTGTCTGACACATATTCTTCTTTCCCCTCCTGTTACGAGCTGAATCCACAACTGGTGTAGTTCCTTGTTTCAATTGTGAATTCTTAATGACTTTTGAAACAACATAAAATGGATTTAGATTGACTTTTTTATTTGTTTATCTCCAAGTTTTCATGACAAAATGAGTGAAATGTCCTAGTAGCATAATGGATTTGTATCTTCATTGGTGTACGGATGTAACAAAAAATTATGCTTGTTGGGGCATAGTATTGTCAAAAGTGTGCCTGCCTTGTGGCTTCTTCAAGGCATGTTAAAACAGTGCATTGGCTTGAGGGGTTTAAGATGGATGGGCAAGATATAGCCTATGCATAGCCCTTTCTACATGATGTAACCAAGATACCTCTCTATGATCAGTTTCTTTAAGAGTTTTATAATTGTCTTTTTCCTTTGTTTGACATTTCTCTTTCTTCTTGCACTTTGTTTGGTATGTAAAGTTGGTTCCATTTTGCTTTCTAGAGACAGAAACAAGCACAGGATGGAGAGAAGCGAAAGGAGTTATCTCAAGGTGAAGAGGAAGATAAGGATGATGATAAAGTCGAGTCAGCAGCTGCTAGTGATTCTCATGAAGATGATTACTATGATTCAGGGCCGAAAGAAGAGAGTGATCAGGAGGAGAGCAAATCAGAGGAAGATGAACCAAAACGACGTAAGTCAAACAAAAGTACTTCATCAAGAAAGGCTATGAAAGAGAGTTCTGGGGCTAAACACAAGGACCATCCTGTACCTGCCAAGAAGAGTTCTCCAGCAAAATCTGTGAAAGGTTCTGCTAAATCTACCAAAAAATCTCCTGGTTCAATGTCAAAACAAGATGCTACTGATGTTGAGGGAACTTCTGCATCGGTTTCCAAGTCAACTTCTACAAAAAAGCAGAAGGTTGAAAAGGAGAGCCAAAAGGACCAAACTGATTTGACCAAGGCAAAAGATACAGGCAGAAAGCAGTCTAACAAATCAAGGGTGAAGACTCCTAAGGATCAAGGTACTGTTCTAATTTATTCAAATTTCTACTAGAAGTTTTTTGGGTTCCAGAAGACAAATTTTTCATTTAAGTTAACTTCCATGCTTCCTGAGTTGGTTAGTTATGGTTTAAACTTCTTGCACAGGTAAAGGGAAAGCTACTAAGAAGGCTAAATTGGAGCCCAGCAGAGCAGAGATGCATGCAGTAGTTGTAGATATTTTGAAGGAAGTGGACTTCAATACTGTAAGTGGTGCCTGTTTGTCATAATCAAGAATTCAATGATTAAATGCGCAAGTTATATCATTCTTAAAATATCTTATCATAATGCAGGCAACTCTATCTGATATTCTCCGGCAACTTGGTAAGGCATTTTTTTCTCCTCTCTCTAAAAACTAAAAATAAAAAATATAAAACGTGCTATTGCTTTTGGGTTGACTAAATGAGTGCTTTTTTATATCTAGGTACCCATTTTGGTTTGGATTTAATGCATAGAAAAGCAGAAGTTAAGGATATAATTACAGATGTGATAAGTAATATGAGTGATAAAGACGATGATGGAGAAGATGCCGAGGAAGATGAAGCTAGTGGTGACAGGGACCAAGAGGGAGATGGGGAGGATGATGCTTAGATGGTTTTGTCAGATTGGGAAAGTTGGTATGATTAAATGAAATTACATGAGCTATGGTATGTTCGTCAGGTATCATTCCAAGGGTTTAATCAACAATTCATACAAATGAGGCTCGTGCAAATTGGGTGGTGGGGATCGAAGTATGCAGCTAGGTTTGTTTGTACCATATGCATTAGTGCTTTCTCATGTCAAATATTTAGTTGACTGGCCTTTAAATTTCATTTCTTGGTTATTACCATTTTGTAGCTCCTAACCCATGACCTTGCCCTAAATAATTTTTTTTTTTCGTTTTCCCTTTTACTTAGTTGAAACTACTAATCTGTGAAGGATTTGGAGGAACGATATCTTTTTGCTGCCTATTGATTGTAGGATTTGCCAGTAAACATTTTTTATTGAATTGACATAGTGCCAATTTGTCACTTGGGAACTGTGAAGTTGATAGTTAAACATATTACATATCAAATAAACGTGAACGTGATTACTTGTGTTTGTCTGAATATGGAAAATTCACGGATACGCTTATCTTACACTGTAGAAGTTCTACTTAATTTAGAGGAAACTTGTTTAATTAAAGGTTGATTTTAAACAATGGACTTCTGCCTGCTAGTACTTAAAGAAGGGTTTTGACAAAGATGTTCCAACGAATGCCAATTAGCAATTTTTTAATTTTAGTTCTTTTTGGGTGCCTTCTCCAGTGGTTGTAGACGAAACGTTGAGCGGGAAAAGCAAGGTGGATTATCTTGACAATGTGCATTTATTTCAACGCTGATAGAGGCCTACAACCGCTGAATGCTATAAGAGTGTTCCATTGACGAAGAAGCTTTTTAAATTCAATACTAATTGAATGAATCTGAATCAGATCATGAGTATTTAACTTTCCATGCACACATACATTCAGACACTGTTTTCATTCAGTTTCCAATTCACGAGGCTTATTCGATTAGAGATGGGATAATTTGATTATATGTGCAAGTTTTATTTTAAAAATGTCATTAAAACTTGATCAAGCAAACAAATGCTGGACGCCAACCCTACCAACCAATAGCCAAGTTCCTCCTTTCTCACGCCACACTTGCTGGCTGGTAATGTTCTGGTTTTTGGGCTAGTAGCCTACCCACCCTTGTGTTCTTGGCACCATATGCGAAACTATACAATTGTAAAAACAAAATACTTGAACAAGAAATCTTCTGATTGGTCCCCTCTTTCACCATCTCTACTTGTCATTTCTTTCACACTTCAGATTGTTAACCAACGCAAATATTTCTCACTTTCTGCAATTCTCCTCAACGTCTACCTATATATTTTCTCAACCCAATTCTCAGCTTTCAGATTCATTGTTCTTCTTTTCAGGTACTTCCTAGTTTTGAGTATTTGGTTCTGGAATTTTCTTTTGGGTCAGTTACTGCTAGTTCTATCTCTGAATCATTCCTTTACGTTTTTACAAATGTTGGAGATCATATCGTTTCTATTTTCTGTTGTTTGGTTATATCCTTGAAACATTACTTTCCTAGTTGTTGTCAGGTCTTGGTTGCTGGGTTTATCAGTGTTTCAAATGGCGGATAATAGCTTCGAGCTTAGTGTAAAACGAGGAGAAACAGTTCTTGTTTCTCCTGCAGAGGAAACACCGAATGGTCTCTACTTCCTGTCAAACCTTGATCAGAATGTTGCAGTTACAGTCCGTACGTGCTACTACTTCAAGTCAGATTCAAAAGGAAATGAGGATGCTGCAACAGCCATTAAGAATGCCCTGGCGAAAGTGCTTGTTCATTACTATCCTACTGCTGGTAGGCTAACAATCAGTTCAGAAGGGAAACTCATAATTGATTGCACTGGAGAAGGAGCTGTCTTTGTTGAGGCTGAATCTGATTCTTCTATACAACATGTTGGAGATATCACAAAACCTGATCCTGATACTCTTGGGAAGCTGGTTTATGACATCCCTGGTGCTGAAAACATACTTCAGATACCTCCTTTGGTGGCTCAGGTTTAGAATTCTCTTCATGATTTTCACTTCTCCCTTACTGGTAATCTTGGTAGTTCTCTTTGCAGTTCATAGATCTTCTCTTTAACAAGTTTGATCACTTTCCTGTGAGTTTGTTGAACTGTTATGACCACTAAGTTGGTCTAATAGAACATTTGATTTTTGAAGCATGATATGATGGCTTCATATAACATTTTGTTGCTGCACATGTCTCCTTCCTATTGGAGAAGAAAATTATAGGCCAATTACAACCCATACTAAATTCTTTGTTGGTAGTTATGGTGGCAAAGTTCTCTATTGAAAGAGACCATTAAAATGCGGTTCATGAAGTTCTTTAAGGATACTTGTTTAGAATTTCTTGCTTCCCTGCAAAGCATCCGTCTTCAGTTAAAATCCTGAGTAGCACAAATTTCTTGTTTTGTATATATATACATAATACGGGAAGTCTTCTTGGCAGGTAACCAAATTTAAATGTGGAGGATTTGTTCTCGGGCTATGCATGAATCATAATATATTAGATGGGATAGCTGCAATGGAATTTCTCAACTCATGGGCTGAGACTGCCAGAGGGTTGCCCCTAAGTGTCCCCCCTTTTCTAGACAGAAGCATACTCAAAGCAAGAAACCCACCTAAGATAGAGTATCCACACCAAGAATTTGCTCAGATTGAAGACATATCAAATACCAGCAAGCTTTATGAAGAACAAATGCTGTATAGGTCCTTCTGTTTCGATCCACAGAAGCTTGAACTACTCAAGAGAAGAGCCATGGAAGATGGAGTTCTAGATAAATGCACTAAGTTTCAAGCTCTCTCAGGCTTTCTATGGAGAGCTTGGTGTCAGGCACTGAACTTGAGGCCTGATCAACAGATAAAGCTTCTCTTTGCTGTTGATGGGCGATCAAGATTTGTGCCTCCATTGCCTCAAGGCTACTCCGGCAATGGAATAGTCTTGACATACTCACTCTGCAATGCTGGTGAGCTCTTGGGGAAACCTCTTTCATTCGCAGTGAGTCTGGTTCAGCAGGCAGTCGACATGGTTACTGATAGCTTTATGAGATCAGCCATAGACTATTTTGAAGTAACAAGAGCTAGGCCTTCATTAGCTGCTACTCTGGCAATCACTACTTGGTCCAGGCTATCTTTCCACACAAAAGATTTTGGATGGGGAGAACCTGTTTTTTCAGCGCCTGTGGCTCTGCCTGAGAAGGAAGTAATTCTGTTCCTACCTCACGGGGATGACAGAAAAAGCATAAATGTGCTTCTGGGTTTGCCAGCTTCTGCCATGAATGTCTTTGAGGAGCTGATGCAGATTTGAAAAAAAGAATTATATATTACCACAAGATTCTTTCAATTCTCGTAAGCAAAGTTCCCTGCCTAAATATTCATTGTTTCTAAGTCCTTCTCCTTTCTTCTCCCTTATTTGTTGCCTAAGTGCAGATTGAAGCGATCATTGCACAATAACTGATCATATTAAATAAGGATCTCTTGCTCCTTTGCTCTAAGTGAAGCTGAGATGCAAACTTGTCCTTTGTTATGTATTTCATTATATATGTGGTCGTTGTAAGTTGAATATTTCCACTCAATAACAATGCTGCTGATTTTCTATTTTACCGCTCCAATTTAGCTGGATGGATGTATTCATTGTTGTCCATCTGCTTGATCCAAGTGCCTCGACTTAATCCCCTGATATTAGGGAAGTCGTTAATATATGAATATTGAGTTCGATACATTTATGAATCACAATAAAATCAGATATTTTTCTAACACATTCTATATTGTCTTAAGTTGAATAAATAAATAAATTAAAAATGTGAATAATGGAATAAGAATGGGTATGAAATTTTTTACCAGCTCTAACCTTAAATGAATGATATAGAGCGGTTAAAAATATTTTATAATATTAAATTTTTTTAATTAAAATAATTATAATAGATTAAAAATATTTTTAGTAAAATTTGGTTACAGCATTATTAGAGAAGCTAAAATTTACCAAATACAAATTTTAAAGTAGTTTTATTAAAAGCTGGCTTGTAATCTGCATAAATGTGCTTACTCATGATAGGCCAAGGCCACTGGCTTACTGATACAAGATTTTTAAGGTGAGGATACATGTCTCTTGGAGTATATAATAAGAAGTAAGTTTGTAAGCATAAATTAAACTTGCAAACGTGTTATGTGTGTGTATATAGGTATTTTCCTCAGTTCTTCTTAAAATCAATATGTATTTTCTGATACTACATATTAGTTAAAAAAATGTAAATTATAAGAATAAAAAATATTGTTATTTATAGGTTAGTTCGAGTAAGATGAACTTTTCAATGTTAAATATTATATTTAGAAAATTTATGGCACTTAAATATGAATATTTGAATTTAATTAAATTTAATTTTAAAAAATTAACTTAATCTCAATGTAATCTAAAAATTCATATCAATTATATATATATATATATTTAAAAAGATGAGTTTAAAAAAGTCTTATCCTCGTAATATTCGTAGAATAATCTGAAGAGTAAAGATATCAAATTGCTCATCATAAAAAATGGATGGTGTATTACGCACATGCAAAATCATTTCTACGATAATGTATACGTATATATACACACACACACACACACATATTTTGCTATTGCAATTTGAGAAAAAAAAAAGCACGAGTAACCTTATAATTACTCATATAAAACTCATATGATGAAAAAAATGCAATCGTCCATTTTTTAATGAAAAATGAAAAAATTAATTTACCCAATATATTATTAATATATATACTCGTGATATCAATTTTTATATCATATAAAGCTGCTTAAATAAATGAGTACTTATTTGATAGTGCATCTTCTATATTGTGTTACATGTCAACTTACTCCATAGACGTGATGAATTTTATAAAAAGTAGAAAGTTAATAGAAAATTATACACTAATAGATGGTGTTTGTTTAAAGAAATATATTTATTTAAAAAGTGTTTAGAAAAATGCTTTACAATTTGATCCAAATGTATTATTATTGAAGCAAATGCAAAGTAGCTCACAAGGGAACAATCAAGCAGCCTACTATGTAACGCCCACTTTACAATTTTATTAGTCTTAATATTATGCCGTAGAGGGATCCATATAATCTTACAAAACCAGAACATCTTGGTCAAAACTCTAATATTTCAAACCATCTTTTCTATTCACTAGTCTATTAATGTTGCTTCTTCTTGATGAATGATTTCAACAACAATTTCTTAGTCACTACAAATTTAGATGCAGGAGAAGGCTTTTTTCTCTTGCAATCTTAATACTAGTCAAGATTGATTTGATTTCAGCCACAAGAGGGTCTGAGGCATCGATTCATTTAGACCTAGCTTGAATATGAGGCGAGATTTCTAAAACACATGTAATATGAGTTTCATTAGCTTTTATTACCGCATTGTGTGAAAGTATCGCAATATTTGCTCCTATAATCGACACACTAATTATTATTTGATTTACTACTTACCAAAAATATAACGAAATGAGGATTGTACCTCATTCATGAGAGACCAAGGAAGTATCATTTTTCAAGTATCATATCTGAATTGAAGTAAGTTTTTTTTATTACCATATTCAATCTGTAATGATAGGTGCATAAAATAAGAAATCTTGAGAATTGATTTGTAAATCATTACCTTGTGCATGCATATTATAGATAAACAAAACATCATTTCAACAAACAAAAAAATTACCATATTCTAGTCTTTGGTTCCATTATAAAAAAATGCTCGAATAATATGAAATTGGATAAATATATGGTTGTATCTCTCATATGAGCTTGGATAAAAACCACTGGAGTTAAAGTCTATACCATTGTCTAAAAAAATTCTAAGTAGACTTTTATATAATATCAATTATTACATGACCTTATACTACTCCAAAATCCTGGATTCCTACAGAAATTTTCAATGAGCTTCTTTGAAACCTGTATTGTAAACAAGAATAAAACCACTTAAAATTTTATAGCTCTATTTAACAGAATAATTTCCACTACTTTGATAAGTCCAAATCCACTTATCCTCCAATTGAACCTGAGACAATTTA